ACCATGGAGGGAAGCGAACATGGAGTGGACAGTAGCGTGGTGGACGGGTGCTAGTTTAGAAGATGCTCTCTGAAGAGCTGGGTCTTCAGGAGTTTCTTGAATGTCGACAAGGAATCCCCTGTTCTAGTGGTGCTTAGGTCATTCCACATCTGTGGAACGACACATGAAAAGAGTCTGGATTGTCCTGGGCGTGGTGTAGGCACTGCTAGCCGACAATGCTTCGACAACCGGAGCGGCCGGGCCGTGACGTAAGCCTTTGCAAGAGGATTCAGGTAGATGGGAGCTGCACCATCCAGGGCTTTGCATGCTAGTGCTAGCAATTTGAGTTTGATGCGTGCAGCTAGCGGTAGCCAGTGGAGCTCAATGAATAGAGGGGCGATTGAAGACCAGACGTGCCGCTGCATTCTGGACCATATGAAGAGGTCTCAGTACAGGCTGGAAGACCAGTTAGAAGGGCGTTGCAGCAGTCGAGGCAGGAGATGACAGTAGATTGCAACAGGAGCTGGGTGGCATGTTGTGTTAGGTACGGTCTGATCTTTCGTATGTTATGCCACGAAGCGACATGAACAAGCGACAGAGGCAACATGATCTTTAAAGGTCAGCTGGTCATCAATCACAACACCCAAGTGTCCAAACTAACTTTGAAGGAGCCACAGATAGGGAATCGTTTGGATTGCGATATTGTGCTGTATGGATGGTTTTGCTGGGAGGACAAGTAATTCAGTTTTAGAGAGGTTGAGTTGGAGATGGTGGGATTTCCTCCATCTTGATATGTCAGAAGGACAGTCTGAGATTCATGCAGAGACAGTGAGGTCATCCAGCGGGAATGACCGATAAAGCTGGGTGTCGTCGGCATAGCAGTGGTAGGAGAAGCCATGCCATCGAATGATGTGTGTAATGATGTATATGGCAAAGAAAAGAGGTCCTAGTACAGAGCCATGGGGGACTTCTGTGGCAAGATGGTTGTAACGCGATGAAGGAGCTATTCCTCCAAGGTTATTTAACCTCTCTCCACAGATGCCTCTGACACAGTACTAGGCTGCATGAGACTGCCTCGAGGTCATGCATTCGCTTCTAAAACTGTTTTCTTTCCAGCAAGAGATGAACGAAGATAAAGGACTCTTTTCTTTTAATAAATCAAATAACTCTATTTTTAATAAAGCTAATCAAAACAAAGCTAGTCAATAAAATAATGTTGACCGATCTGTGAAATAACAATGTTATGATTAATATGCTTTAATAAGTAATATGACTTATTCTAGTGCACTAGACATGCTGACTACACATAATGTAAACGCATGACACATTGCTGTTACTGATCCAATCAGAAGCTTCCTTTCTGAAGCGTGGCATAGTCTCTGTGGTGTTTATAAATCTGCCAACTTTGATTCGACCAGAAATCAAAACATCCAGATTAATAAAACCAGTTCCCACGCCATCTTAGTTCAGTTCTCAAGATCTCACTGGAGTTCACCGCGTGCTAAGTGAAGTATCTGACCGGCCATCCGGACTTCCTAAGCTGAGAACCAACAAGCTGGATAAAATCTGTTGCATTTTACCAACCAAGCAACGGTTCCTTTCAGAATAAAAGCTGAACTCACTAACCCAAGGGGGGGTCCATTTGACACTGTGAACCACCTGTCGCTTTTTTACCTGGAGACAATCCAAAGACTAGTTTGTCGTACTGCTGACGCTGTTTCACCGGCTCCGGTACCGAAAGGGGGGGTCAGAGGACCTGGCGATCTGGATCTGTACGGAGGTCTCATCTCAAGGCTATGTGTGGAGTGGCAATATGGCGTCTCATGTGTTTATGAAACTCCGATCAAACTCTGATCGAAGCTAGAAGCAAAACATCACAACATCATTCAGACTTGCTTCTCCGGATACGAGAGTTCTGATGATGACATCGCTCACACACACACCATTCATCTCACGTCTCATTCACCAGATCCATCCATCATTTAGAGTAGAGTTAGTCTTGTTCAAAATTGTTTAGAAATAAATCATCTTAAACATTTTAAAGGTCTCTCTCTTCTCTTGTCTCTCAGTTAATACAAAGTGTTACATAATCCCTGCAATAAAAAGTTCCAATCTTCTGGTTAAAATAACCCAAAGGTCCGTAAGGTTGATTTCATATTCACTCCTTAATGTCTCACGGGTCCTTAATTAGATGTAAATGAACTTCTTTTACATGGTGAACAGCAGAAGATTGTCTGAGCCAAGATAAACTGAAAGATCGTCCTGTCGTGTACGATTCAAACCAGGAGTTAGCTTTCCCTGTGCTAGAGACAAAAGGAAGCCATGGATGTCAGTGTCAAATGCAGCCGACAGATCAAGCAGGATAAGCGCTGAGGCAGTCGCTCTAGCTTCTAGTTCACTGACCTTTTTCTTTAGGTCAGCTGTGTCCAACCCTTCGAGCCATCCACCATGTTTTAGTTGTTTCTCTGCTCCAACACACTTGGTTCAATAGCTAAATGACCTGTTCAGCAGATCACCACCCACTGCCTGGAATCAGTGTACTATTTAAGTTTTTATGTATTTCTTTGTGTATTTTTACAGAAATAATGTTCACATTTCTTTTAGTTTTAATGAAAAAGTTCTGTTTTGTCTAAAAAAAGGAAACATTTGAACAAACTGTAGCTGTGCTACTTCGTGTTTCCAGAAGCTTTTATTTAGTTCAGTTTTTAAGGAGGAGCGGCATCGTGGTGCGGTTGGTTTGACCAGTTGTTTAACAGGTTTGCAGGTTTAAATCTTTACACAGGCTTTTCTGCATTGTTTGATTGTTACCCGTTGTGTATGCAGGTTTATTCTGCAGGTGCATAGTGTGTGTTTATGCATGCTTGGATGTCTTTTTATTTGCCATCTTTCCGTGCAGTGTTTCTACTGAGAAGCTGACAAAAGAACGATTTTGTCGCAAGAATATGTCAAACAAAGTGATTATGGATGAGAACGGCATCAGTGATCACAATTTTAATCCAAACAAGGGATTTACAAGCTGCCGGGCTACAAACATGATCATTAATCCTTATTTATCCGGTTTATCCAGTTTAATAGTCTTTTTTTCCCAGTAGCAACTAATTTCTGATTTGTGTTCGTCAGTATAGATAATATTAATTGTGTTAATTTTTGATACAGATCATCAGCGTTGCATCTTTTTACCCAAGAAAGAAGAGTGAATGACGGCAGCAGAAGAGTCCCATCGCTGTTAGACATATCATGAAAATTAATGAGCAATCTGCTGTTTTACAGACAAACACACACACACACTCACACACACACACACACACACGCACACGCGCACGCACACACATGACACGCACTAGTCAACATCATATATATATTTGTCTTGTACCACATAATTTTTAATCTGAAGCTACATATTAAGCATATTCAGGGCAGAGTATTGTTCCTGTTAGTGTTTAGTGTGAGATGATGGTAAATATTCCCTTTCTTTCTCCAACAACTTTACCTGATAGTAAGCTAACTTTAGGCAAACCAGCAGCACAACAAATATTTTCTAATAAGACTCACAAACCTGAGTCAACACCAGTCTCATCAAAGCTGGGGTTCTGTCGTTGTACTTTTTGTCTAAAAAACGTCCTTATATCCATCTTCACTCATGCGTTTCAGGCAGAGAGTGTAGAAGAAGCCGGCTGCTGAAGGGCTTCTTCTTCAGTGGTGGAGGCTCAGGCAGGCTGTATACAAACTACTGCCAGCTGCTCCCTCTCTGTTGGACTTTGGTACTGCATGTTACTTCCGCGATTTAGATCCGGGGCTTTTCATAAAACATCCGGGGCTTGAGCCCAAGTAGCCGGGCCTAACGCCGCCCCTGCCTCTGACAAACAGTTAATCCCTAAAACAAGAGCACGAGACAGTTTTTCCACATAAAACTACTCAAAAGGCATTCACTCACACTAAAGACCACAGCAAAATTAGAACAAATAAAAACAAGTAAATGAGACATTTAAAGTAAAATTCTCAAGATATTTTATGTGCGCTATTCCCAGAGCAGTGCTTCAATGAGTTAATTGAATAATTGTTAATGAACTTTTCCTGTTTTGTCTGGTGAGAGTTAAAGTGAACACGCCTGTGTGTGTGTGCGTGTGTGTGTGTGTGTGTGTGTGTGTGTGTGTGTGTGTGTGTGTGTGTGTGTGTGTGTGTGTGTGTGTGTGTGCTTGTGTGCATGCGTGTGCGTGTGTGCGTGTGTGTGTGTGTGTTGCTCTGAAAAATGCAGCCAGCAGAATAAACCATCTCATTAATAAAATAGTAAAAAGAAACGTTTGAGCTGATCAGAGGACTCTCCATCACGGATCGCCCATCAGACGCTCTTCAGGACTCAGGCAGAGGATTTTCATTCAGTTTATTTGACACAAAGACAAAATGACACTTCGGTAAAACATTTATATTACTTTCCTTTTAGCTTGTAGAGAACACGACCGTTCCACTTCTGTGCAGAACAACTGGTAATGTTGTGTATTTGTCCATCTAACTGCAGCTCTGGTGTATTTATTTACCATGCGGGAACCCTTTAGGCAGGTCGTGGTGGATCATGCGTCTCTCTGGTGATTTCATATTTTAGATTATTATAGATTAAATGACAATAATCCGAGTGAAACATAAATTTGAAGTTACTGAAAGTCCTTCCTCATGACTCATGTCAGAAGCTTTTGTTTTGCAACACATGAAGCCGGAAACCAAGCAACCTCCCCCCCACGCCCGCCCCCTTAGAAGTGGTCTCACTCGCAGCTCGCGCATTAAGGGTGTGGTGGCTCCTGCACGCGCACTTGTGAATGCTCGACTGACAGACCGGTGAGCTGGCTGGGTTCTGGACTCAACCTGTGAGCACACCTGATTGCGCCCACGCGCGGTTACGCACTCATGGAGACAAGTGGGCACACCGGATTGCGCCCACGCGCGGTTACGCACTCATGGAGACAAGTGGGCACACCTGCCACTCATTTCCCCCCCAAATTAGCCCCTGATCAAGGACGAACTTCATGCCATCGTTTCCCTGAACTTGGCCATCACTCCTTTCTAAAAGTCTCCAAACTGGTCTTACTGGAACAGAAGATGGTTTGCCTGCAGACAAAGAATTAGTAAAGAAAGGCAGCAGAGATGGGAGGGGTCATTTGCCTGGAAAATGGGTGTGTCGGTGTGTTTTTAAACAGCTGGGTGTGCCAGCCCTGGTCACATCGGGACTCGCCTGCTCAAGCTCCACAAGTCTCCTGTGCAAACTCGGTATGGAAAGAAATGTCTTTTTGTGCAAAAATTGGTCATTTCTTCTTGTCTTTACTATTTAATCTGTTTAAGGTTATTTTTGTGCAATTCTGAGGAGAGCTGTGCTGAGTCACTTTTCACATATGTGGGTGTTGCTTGCAGCTTCAGTTAGGAACTATTAATGTTTTTCCGGTAATTTTAGAAAATTTGCAGCAATTTTTCTTTAGTGTAAAACATCTTAAGCAAACATTCCTATGATCAAATTTTATGATAAACGGCTACAGAGACCTCGGCGTACGTGCACTGAAATGCAGTACATTTAATAAAAATGGAACGGTGGGAAGAAGGATTTGTGCATCCCAGTGAAAGCTGACCTTGTTGTCCCACCCATGTTCGAGTCAGTTCCCTGTTTAGACCCAGCAAGAATTTCCTGGTCCTGCAGATTGTGACTCGCTAAACAAAGAATTTGGTCTAGTGAGGATTCTTTAGACCTTTTTGACTGACTGGACATTTAAAAAGTGAGTAAACCTTAAATGCCCGGCAACATCAACTATCTTCTCTTGTCACAGCCAACATGTCTGGGTCTGGAATCAAAACGGCCATTGCAATCCTCCAAAAGACTTTCGACAAGTATGCTGGAGCCGAGGGAGACCCACACACTCTGAGCAAGAAAGAAGTTGCTACAATGCTTAAAGCTGAGCTCCCTGAAATAGATGTAAGAAGTCAAATTTCCACAGAAGCATATTTTTTGGGTGTGTGGGGGTGGGTGGGGCATGAAACACACGTAACACCTTCTCCTCCCAAACAGGCACTGCTCAATCAGCCTGACCCCAAAGACCCGAAGCAGAAGCAAAAACAAGATAAAGCAAATGAATTTTTCCAAATGCTGGATGAAGACGGCGACGGCACCGTCAGCTTCCACGAGTACATCATCTTCTGTGCAACCCTGGCCATGCTATGCTAGGCGTTGGCTGAGCTACAGTTTATAATTTCTTTTCTCATCACATTTTAATGATTGACCATGGCTACAATCCACATTGTGTAAGAAACTTTCCTAAAAGACACGAATCGTTGATCGGTCAAAAGCTTGAGCAACTTGAAGTGAATGAAGTTTCTGATGTCAATAAAATATATGCCTAAAAATCTTGTCTGTGATTTATTTGAAGGCTAAATGTGAAAGTAGGCTGTTTTCCTGGAGCAGGGATGCATGCTCCCATCTCTGGTCTCAAATTGGGTTTTAGGTGAAACGGCAGGCTGGGCTAGCAGGAAATGACCCAGTTAAAGAAAAGGCTGAGATTAAAAAAAACTCATTACCGTGGATAATTTACAAACTTTCAAGAAGTGATCTCAAAAAATGCAATCACTGTTCAAATGCTGCCCCCTTGTGAACATCTTTCCTGAGCAAAGCACCATCCCCGTGGTTATCTGGACGCTGCAGTAAACCGGAAACATCCGTTGATGCCAGCAGCTAAACCTCCCAAGATCGCTAAAGTGTTGAATCCTACATGTTTTAGACTTGAGGTGTTTGAAACATCTTGAGGTTCTTGACACGAAGGCATTACTTCTGCCCAAAATCTCCTAGTTCACACATCCAGGAACCGCAAAGCTTGAGTGAACTTGTGTTCTAGAAACCAGTTAAGAGATTACAGGTTTTTATGACATGGATTGTCCTGGAAGGAACAATCAGAAGATGGGTCCACTATGGACATGGAAGGCAGCAACTGGCTGTGGTTTAATGCTGAGCAGGCGAATGGGTCAAGAAAGTAACCTCCACAGCTTTGCAGCACCCTTATTTTAAAATTGACACAAAATCTGACTTATCTAAAATCCAGGTTCTTTTGACCAGGAAATGTGTTTCCTGTCTCTTCGGGTCCAGTTCTGGTGATACTATGTGAATTGTAGCCTCAGTTTCCTTTAAACTGACAGAAGGGACACCTGGGCCCGATTTTCAAACGGTTTAATCTGGATAAAATTGATCCGGATTTAGTCATCCTTTGTTTGCGATCCGTGATCATGTAATCCAGTTTACTTTAGAGCCAGTTTTTCAAAGCAACACTGGATTGGATCACTCGGATCTGGATAGGAACTTTCCAGGATCACCAGTGCTCACAGGATAGGAAATCACATTGTAGAACTGTAGATATGTGAAGAGCAACAAGTAGAACAGCCAGTGTGGGTCAATATAAGTTTTTATTTGAAATGAAAACACAAACAAGGAAACCCCACCCCATCCTCTTCAGCAGTCCGCTCCTCTGAGACCTACAACACAAACACTGTATTTACAACAAGCTTCAAATATAGATGTATTGAATAAAAAAAAAGGCCTAAAGTCAAATGTTCCACAATAATTTCAGACTTCCTCATCTGACGTGGAGAGACCAGCTTGTCTGAGCGTAGCCTTTAGGAGGCGGAGCTCAAGTCTGGCCTTGCTTTGCTGCAGTTTGGTCCGAGTCAGTTGTTCCTCTGCCAGACGAAGCTGTGCTTCTGCCCTGCCAGTCTCTGTTTGCAGAAGAGCCTTGTAATCATGTTTGTTGGATGAAGGGTGCTTCAAGCCTTCCCTCTGAGATCCTGTGGCAACTACCACTGGCTCAACCAATGAGGAACCAGCTTCTTCCTCAGGAACAGAGCTGAGATACGCTCTCTAGATCAGCCTCAGGAGGAACTGGCAGATTCTCCTCCTCCATCCACGGCTCTAATACATATTCTAAAAACAATAGTTTTGATTGTGATGAATATATATATATATATATATATATATATATATATATATATATATATATATATATATATGCATATATGGTCTTCTACTGCTGGAGTACGTCTGCTTCAAGGTTCAACATGTCGTGATTCAGAGGTGCTGTTCTGCTGACCTACAGGGAGTGCAGAATTATTAGGTAAATGATTATTTTGTCCACATCGTCCTCTTCATGCATGTTGTCTTACTCCAAGCTGTATAGGCTCGAAAGCCTACTACCATTTAAGCATATTAGGTGATATGCATCTCTGTAATGAGAAGGGGTGTGGTCTAATGACATCAACACCCTATATCAGGTGTGCATAATTATTAAATCAAATCAAAATCAAATCAACTTTATTTATAGAGCGCTTTCACATGGCCAGAATGGACAAACAAAGCGCTGTTAGGCAACTTCCTTTCCTTTGGCAAAATGGGTCAAAAGAAGGACTTGACAGGCTCAGAAAGGTCAAAAATAGTGAGATATCTTGCAGAGGGATGCATCAGTCTTAAAATTGCAAAGCTTCTGAAGAGTGATCATCGAACAATCAAGCGTTTCATTCAAAATAGTCAACAGGGTCTCAAAAAGCGCGTGGACAAACCAGGGTGCAAAATAACTGCCCATGAACAGAGAAAAGTCAAGCGTGCAGCTGCCAAGATGCCACTTGCCACCAGTTTGGCCATATTTCAGAGCTGCAACATCACTGGAGTGCCCAAAAGCACAAGGTGTGCAATACTCAGAGACATGGCCAAGGTAAGAAAGGCTGAAAGACGACCACCACTGAACAAGACACACAAGCTGAAAAGTCAAGACTGGGCCAAGAAATATCTTAGGACTGATTTTTCTAAGGTTTTATGGACTGATGAAATGAGAGTGAGTCTTGATGGGCCAGATGGATGGGCCCGTGGCTGGATTGGTAAAGGGCAGAGAGCTCCAGTCCGACTCAGACGCCAGCAAGGTGGAGGTGGAGTACTGGTTTGGGCTGGTATCATCAAAGATGAGCTTGTGGGGCCTTTTCGGGTTGAGGATGGAGTCGAGCTCAACTCCCAGTCCTACTGCCAGTTTCTGGAAGACACCTTCTTCAAGCAGTGGTACAGGAAGAAGTCTGCATCCTTCAAGAAAAACATGATGTTCATGCAGGACAATGCTCCATCACACGCGTCCAAGTACTCCACAGAGTGGCTGGCAAGAAAGGGTATAAAAGAAGAAAAACTAATGACATGGCCTCCTTGTTCACCTGATCTGAACCCCATTGAGAACCTGTGGTCCATCATCATATGTGAGATTTACAAGGAGGGACAACGGTACACCTCTCTGAACCGTGTCTGGGAGGCTGTGGTTGCTGCTGCACGCAATGTTGATGGTGAACAGATCAAAACACTGACAGAGTCCATGGATGGCAGGCTTTTGAGTGTCCTTGCAAAGAAAGGTGGCTGTATTGGTCGCTGATTTGTTTTTGTATTGTTTTTGAATGTCAGAAATGTATATTTGTGAATGTGGAGATGTTATATTGGTTTCACTGGTAAAAATAAATAATTGAAATGGGTATATATTTGTTTTTTGTTAAGTTGCCTAATAATTATGCACAGTAATAGTCACCTGCACACACAGGTATCCCCCTAAAATAGCTCAAACTAAAAACTACTTCCAAAAGCATTCAGCTTTGATATTAATGAGTTGTTTGGGTTCATTGAGAACATGGTTGTTGTTCAATAATAACATTATTCCTCAAAAATACAACTTGCCTAATAATTCTGCACTCCCTGTAGAGTGTATTGAGTAGCCAAGCTAATGGCTGCTGTCTATCATCCCTTACCTCTGACATGAAGACATTACATCAACACAACTGCTGCTCCCTGGAAATTAATTTCTCGTGCATGTTTTAGGCTTTTTGAGGTCTGCAGAGGGGGAGTGGAGAAGCAGCAGGTCCAACAAACTCAGACAGCTGTCTCAAGCCAAGTCCTGCCTTTGTATACTGAGTCACAAACCCAAATGGTACGATTGGTAGAATATTATTACACATTGCTTCTTAAAATCTTCAGCAAGTTATCTCGTTTAAAAAAATATATATCCTCGCATCTCCCGTGTGGATGGAAGTTTTTGGCATCTGCCGGCTCGCTGAACACACCTGTGACCTTACACACACAGGTGCTCTCACAAGTATGGACTTGGGCATTTCTGACACATAACCTAAGGCTGTGGTTGGCACTAAACACACTATAAATTATTACTGTGTGCTTTTCGCACGGTTACTGTTATATATCCTAATGCAGTTGGGTGCAGTGATGTTTAGGCTGTTTTTTTTTGAGTGTCCTCCTTTTTTTCTGCAGGTCTAGAAGCGGATTCTTCTACATCCACCTCTTCCTTTCTTTCCCCCCCCTTTCTCTTTCATTTCCATCTCTGTTTCCGTTGGGATTTAAAACAAGCGAAAATATTCCTAATAAAGTTTTGGTATCAGGCAAGGAAATATAGCTGAAGCTATACTGATCCACCTGTGAGAGTAAATCTGCAAGGCCTGTCTTCGGCACTCAGATATGAATTCTGATTGCTTCACAACTGGACAGGACACAAGAAAAAAAGAGAAGTGTCCTGATATGCTGCACGCTCAGTTTCTGAGATTTGCGATAGAGACACGTTTGTGATGTCGCAGTGTGCAATGTTACGTCATAATATTTAATTGGAGCAAGTAACCTGAACGTGCAGGTGTGCTATTATTCCTGATCAGACATATTACTTCTAGAAAAGTCACTAAAAAGTCATTTAAAGAGAATTTATAATCACTGATTGGCAGTTTTTTTTTTGTCAGAATGTGAACTGAAAACCTAAGTACAATCAGCTCCCTGCAAAAGAAAAATCCCACCAGGAGTGATAAAACTTTATTTTTTCTGCTGTTGTTTGCATTTCTTTGAGGCAGAAAAAGTTTTAAATGTTCTTTACTAATACATTTGACTTTATACAATTTTGCTGTTACCCCTCTGCGTTTACGGGTAATTTATGAGCACACTTTACTCCAGAATACATATTTTCTTAATTTCAATTACATGTATTTGTCGTTTATTTCAATAAAAAACAAATAATCAAATAAATCAATAAAATATGTGTTTCTTTTTTAAATTTCCCGTTTCTGAATGAAATGATGTCCTCGAGGATAAAACGTCACAGAACGCGTCCCAGACTCGGGATTCATCGGAAGTCCTCGTCTTTTCCCGGCGCACTCCAGTCATTTAGCTAGCCAAACTGATTAGCTTGCTACCGCACAGCTAATGTTTGTAGAAAACCCAACGTTAGCCGAACTGGACCGGATGAAAGATGGCGGACATAACGGGACAAATAATTAGTCCCTCGGTCCCTCCGTTGCCTCAACCTTCCTCCCGTAAAGGCTCCGGTAGCGGTAACGTCACACCGGACACCGGCGGCAGCTGCTGGCAGACAACACCGACCACCGTTACTTCGGGCCCGAGGCTAGTTCGGATAGTGAAGTCCGACTCAGGCTACGGCTTCAATGTTCGGGGGCAGGTTAGTGAAGGAGGGCAGCTGCGGAGCATCAACGGGGAGCTGTACGCACCTCTGCAGCACGTCAGTGCGGTCCTACCGGGGGGCGCCGCAGACAGAGCCGGCGTCTCCAAGGGGGACCGGATCCTTGAAGTGTAAGTATGCAATGTTTTCGCTCAACTCGTGCAAAACACAACTCATAACTCTGGGCGGTTGTTTTGGATTACGATCGTTTCCATCAGGCTCACATGACCGCACCGAGAATCGCCGTTCATCCCGATGAAAGGAGTGTCTGTGTGGGTCAAAGAGCTCCAGGAATCATTAGACATTCCCGTCACACTTAAATCCATCCCTCTCACCCAGATCATCTGAAGCCAGCCCTTGTGCACGTGGATCCCAGATGCAGTGCGCTATTCTCATTTCTCACAGCTCCCTCTGTTTATGTGATTCACAAATGCCATCAGTGCCTTAGCTTAAGTGGCCAAACACGAGTGTTTTAGATCAGATCAGTGACGTGCCTTCTTCATTGACTCTGTATGCATGAAGACTCTGTTGCTATGGAGAAGAGCATTGAGCTCAGCATCAGCACTGCTGCTCCACTCTGTATGCATGGTATATGGTGATGGAGAAAGGGATGCCTTCACTTCACTGGTGATTGGCTTTGCTCTGATTGGTTGGGAGGGGGTTCTTGTGCACACTGGTTTGCTCAGGGATGGCCTGCAGTAACCTGGCAGCATGCTGACCCCATTATTTGTGCATACAAGCATACAGATGCTGTCCTGTTTGTTATTGTACCCGCGGAGGACTACTTCCCTCTGGTGCATTCACGCGTTGGTTCTTTTGGTCAGCATTAACGTTAAGTTGCTGTCGATTACTTTCACTTCACCTCCAGCTAATATGCTTTTGTATTGATTCAGGACAATCTTCCATGCAGGTAATAAAGCAGGATGGATCTTTACACATTCATTACGATGTTCCGCTGGGGCTGTGAGGGAGTTTTTATGCAGCACTACTACCACAGTACGTGCCCGGCCAGCTGCAAAGCTGCTTTGACTTTTTGCTGTTCCTAATTTGTTATGCAAACTTTTTTGGTTTTGCAGATTTATACAATCCTGCTGCTTTTCGGGTTCATTTGAAACGTTGCCAGCCATTCTTACGGTCTAAAGTTGTGTTTTTAAAGGATTGTTTTGGTAGGTGCCATCTCTCATGCAGGATGGATGGATTTTACATGACCTGTTAGTGCTAGCAGCAGGGGCGATTCTAGGATCAGAAGTTTAGGGGGGGCTCCTCATCCAGAGAGCTGCCCAGAAAGGAGAGAGCTACATTTGACTGTTTTGTACATTTTAACACAATTTCATTCCCACATTTGTGAAAAAAAAAAAATTAAATCAAAATTAAATTTTTAGAACTCAAATAAAGGTTTCACAAATCAAAAAGTATGTTTTACAGGTTCTGCCCTAGTGTGGAATAATGTAGTCCAGATTTTTTTTTTAGTTTTTTTATTTGTTTTTAACACACTAGTAAAATATAAAAATACATACTGTACTTGGTCGGAGCGATCTATTTTAAAAGCAAAAACACAGCAAACCTCCCCCACCTCAAAAATGGTTTGATCCAGCTCACCTTTCCCTGCGGTGTTGTTGAAAACACGCCAGACCATATTTTTATAATCTCCAACCTAAAACTTCAAATCAGCAGTTTACAGACCTGCTGCTCCTCTAACCTTCAAATATAGATGATAGATAGATATAGATAGATAGATAGATATAGATAGATAGATAGGTAGATAGGTAGGTAGGTAGGTAGGTACGTAGTAAGGGTTGCACAGCTTAATTTTTTTTAAGTCGACTGTCAAGTAATGAAAATCGAGTCGACTTTGATTAGTCGTTGATGACGTCATACACCTGAAGCGGGGGGGGGGGGTTCGCTGGAGTTTTTGACAATTAAAATTGCGCCCACATTGTCAAAGTTAAACACGTCTCTTTTAACAACGGTAGTTTCTGCTTCTACACTGCTCCACTTCAGCCCTCTCCCCCCTCCCCATGCGCAGTATGCCTGCAGCCTCTCGGAGTTCCTGCTGCTCTAAACATTAAAATAATGATTTCATTTTCTGTTCCTCTCTTCTGATTACCTTCAATGGTGTCTGTTTGTTGCAACCAGCAGGTACAAAAACTAACTTGTTTTTATTTGACTATTTTTCTGTCCTGCCTGTTTATTATCTTCCTGCATCTCCTCTCAGTCCTAAAGAAAAACTGCTACCTGGCTTCATATATATTCACCTCATGAGTTACCTTTGAACTGCAGTTCTAAAAGATCTACCGACCTCAAAAACAGCGGAGTGCGAGCCGGCCGCATCAGTGAGGTGAAGTTATTGGAGGACAAAACCGGTGATGCGCCCCGCTCCACAGCAGCGAAACGCATCAGGCACAAATAAAAGACAGAAAACATAAAAGGAAATGAGCCGACATGAACGATCGCGTGTTAAATTAGTTTTTGAGGTGGCGACACCTGATTTGATGTTACTGTGGCCGTGCTCAGGACGCAGATGTCTGGAGCGCGTCAACGATCAGAGCTTTGCATGTGCAAGCTGGTTAAGCTTAGGATGGGGGTGAGGGGAAGGTTACATTGCAAGAGGGTAAATGTCACAATTTGGTTAAATGTCCGTTTTACGGCGGGTGCCTCCCGACGCCAGCGCTGGACTGACCATAGGGCATAGCGGGCAACTGCCCGCTGGGCCGACCCTTTCATCTTTTATGGGCCGGTGTCTGTTTTTTTTTTTTTTTTTTTTCTCCTGGCCTCTAGTTGTTGCGGACAACTTGTCCGCGCCGCCCCACGCGACGCCTCGTAAAAGTTGGTGGATTGGCCAGTTGGTAATAATACACTCTGGGCTGGACCATTAGCCAGAGGTCTGATGCACCCGCCAGTTGTTTGTGAATCTCAGTAAACAGACAGACGAGCTTAACAAAATGGAGAACAAAAAACGGAAAGGAGGAGCGGAGAAAATTCGACTAAAAAAAGAAACTGGCCCTTCAGGCTGATGCTGGTACATGTGTTAAAATCTCACAGTTGTTTGGTAGTGAAGGTTCAAGTAAAATCAATTTAGGAAGTGATGGAGCCTCAGCCCAGCGACAGGTTGGAGAAGAAAAGAGGGAGGAGGAGGAGAAACCCGAGCCGGTGTTGTGCCATAAATTGACTCGCTGCCAAAAAATGATTAGCCACCGCGGGATCGCGCACGGTTAGGTAATTGCATTTCTAGACAAAATTCCCCAGGATTTCGCCCTAAAACTCAGCATATCTAGCAATATGGACATTCAGAAAGCAAAGATAACCTCTTCCGGTACTTAAATAGATGTTTATCGCGGATATTAGTGTGGCAGTGTTTGTGGCACCCTGCGCGGGAGCACGAGGACGTGCTTGTGGAAAGAGGGAGGAAGATTTGGCAGTGTGGTGAGCATCCACAATGTCCCGATTGATCATGCGCCCTGGCTACTTGGCCAAGGAGATGATCCTTTGGCTGACTGGTTAGAGCGTATGACTCTCACCCGGGAGTCTGGGGATCGAATCCCGCCCGGGCACTCGTTTCTGCACCTTGCCACGTTAGTTTTTCCAGTTCGGAAGTTGTTTTAAGTGTTGCTATTTGTCTTAAACGTTCACAATGAGGATATATTAATCCTTTTTGCAATATTTGCGATTGAAAGATGGTTTGTGCCACAAACTTTGTGGTAAGAACTGGCTTTCTTTATGTTACAGCTTTGATACTAAAAAAATAAATAATGTAAAATGGCGCCCTGTATTGAATGTAAACGTTGTATAAATGAAAATAAACAATTCTCCAGCGATTTAATTTTTCCCCTTCCTTTCTTTAGTCCACTTGACATGGAGCCACAGTTAACTAGTTTGGGGCACATTTTTACTTGAAAAAAAGTATTTAAAATGATCAAGCTTTGGCTTTAATGACACTGTGTAGGTTGCTATCTATACATTATGTTGCTCTATTTAAAAGTAACAAGATAAAAGCACTTCAGCACATAAAATTAAGATTGTCACTTGCCAAATAGACTACACCCTCCCGTTTACCTATAAGAAATGCCTCAAAATATCTTTAAATTCTTTATTGATGATTTAATTGTAGACAACTAAAATGGCATTTTACTTGCCAAAAAGTGATTGAATCGCTAAGATTTTCATGGAGGCTAAAATTGACCAAATAAGGGTTTTATGTATTATCTGTTGATGTTACTGTACTCATACTGCCTACTGTGTCATCATAAACACCCCAAAAATGGCAACAAAAAAAAGAAGATAATTTCCATTGCTAAAAATTGATTACAGTGTCCTGGTCACCTGTAAAGGGTTACATTTACCTAAATATTACTTTATTTATTATCTCTTGATGTTATTAGTGCCATCACAGGATGCTGGGTGTCTTTCACATTCATAAACACCTCAAAAATGGCAACAAATGATCATTTCCCTTGCCATAAATTGATTACAGTGTCCTGGTCACGTGTAAAGGGTTAAATTGACCTAAATATTACCTTATTTATTATGATGCTGGGTGTGTTCCACAATCATATTCGAATAAACATGAAAATATTCCGTCCGAATATCTGTTTCTTGTTATAAATATAACAGCTGGAAGGATTTACAGTTAAAATAGGAGAAACACGTGACTCCCCAGGAAGGGTCGTAACACCACTTGCCTCATGCACATAAGTGAACAAATCAAAGCAGCATGGAGACACTCCGTCTCCAACCACCTCTCAGGCAGCAGCCTGCACTCTCAAGTTCTACACATCACCAGAACATAAACAACCGCAACACAATAAAAGCAGTGTTATACAAAATGGAAGGCCTGTAGTGTTTATTCTCTTACAGTAACAACTTATCAACTTTTTGGAGGAATTTATTTGAGAATTTTTTGGTTTTTAGTAATTGTGCAATAGAAAAGTAATCACTAGATTAATCATCTAAATAATCATTAGAATAGTCGACTATTCGATAAAATAATCATCAGAATAATCGTTTTAAAAATAATCAGTTACCCCCAACCCTACTTTTTAGAATACCAGGATAGGAAGGATGGTGTAGGTTTACGTTTATTAGATTGATACATAAATACTACCAATAAGAAAGTGTACGTTGGTGTGTGTCAGAAACAGCGTAAGGCTTAATGTCTTTTCAAAAAAAACAGGTGATGGGCCGGTCTCCAGTCAAAATGCCCGGGCTGAATTTTTGTCCCAGTCCAGCCCTGCCCGACGCGCAGGAGCTTGTCACCTGCTGTCTTTTCTGAGGATTCTCATCTTGTCGCTCATTATCACGTGACAGCGACTAGTCTATGGCAGGCATAAAAAGTCACTATAGAGCAGTGAAGTCGACTAGTTCACACAACCCCTGGTAGGTAGGTAGGTAGGTAGGTAGGTAGGTAGGTAGGTAGGTAGATAGATAGATAGATAGATATTCAAAATAAAAAGAATTGAATTGTTCAAAGTAGTCTGCTTTTCTTTTCTTCAACAATGCGTAAGAGATCAGTGATTGGCTGGCAGACTGCCACATCACATCGTTTTGAGCATTTTGATTGGTCAAGGCACCAGATGTCATCAAACTGCAAAAAAAAAAGAAAAAAAAAGAAACGTGAGAAAAACAAATATCTTTATATTTTATGTTTTCTGATCTTTCATAATAATCACTAATAACTGTATCATAATCAGTCCTCTGATTCAATTTAGGGGCGCTTTAGCTTTAGCGGTCCCAAGCATGGACTAGAAACTCTGATAACATGTTTCTAAGTGTGCATTATGATTTATGAGGTGAAAGCGTGCTGTGCTGGTGGTATCACTAGATTCACCACGATAGATCTCAGCAAAGAAACTTTGACGGCAGCTGTGTCGGCTAGGGTTGAACTCTGTTTTACATGTTTATCTAAAACGATACTGTCTGCAAGTTAGATTTTAATTCCTTCAGTGGCTCATGAGATGCTTTTCTTGCTTGAAAAAATGGTCGAATCAACGGCAAAGTGTGCCTGAGAGATCTTATGTAATCAGGTAAGGCTTGGAGTTTGGGACGGGGGAAGCTCGGCTACACATCAAACCTGCTAAACAGTTGCTGCTAGCTGCTTTGGCTACGCTCCATCTCTGCACTTGGTTTGAGTAAATTTGTCACCAGCAGTTTGATCCAAACGAATGACATTAATCAACTTCCTGTTGGGGACAGAAATAACTGAGGATCATGTATAAAAGCAGACTTACAGCCTGTTCATCACCATCAAAAGAGCTGATGGTGCAAAGGCCACAGAAGCTTATTATATCATCATAGAGCTGCACGTAGAGAAGAGCTGCCAACATGCTTACTCTGCGTTTCGTGTTGTTGGAGAGCTCTTCCTGCCTCTGCACCTGCTGCAAGATGTTTGCATAAAGCCTCTCTCGTATTAATCTGTGCCCACTTCTGCCTGCACAGGCGTCTCCTCACCTGGTCGAGTCACAGCTGCTGTTTGTCTGGCGGGCTTGATTATATGTTCATGAGCGGCCATCCCTTCAGGTTGTATGTATTAAAGTCTGGCTGAGCTTTTAGCTGAGTGACAATACGCCAATGTAAGCCCCAGCGTGCACAACGAGCGCCCGACCGAACAGGAGAGCTGGTTGTAATCCATCGGTTGTGTCTGATTGTGTTCATAAGAACCGAAACTGGACTGGTTTGTAGTCTTGGGAGGATGTTTCAGTCAGGGGAGGCAGGGGATGTGTGGATGGAGAATTGTTTATGAATGCCATATTTTCAGATGATAGTTTAACACAAAGCTCAAACTGAAAATGTAAAACAGGAAAATCCACCTTAGGGAGCCGGTTCGTTACATCTGGTGTCACCAACAGCCGGAGGTGATGCTGAGCCCTTAGAGAGGAGACTCTGGGGCTGTTCTCTGTGAAGTTAACTATAGGTGAGGGTGTTTCAGCTCTGTCATTAACACACACACACACACACACACACACACGCACGCACGCACGCACGCACACACACACACACACACACACACACACACACACACACACACACACACACACACACACACACACACGGAGACACTCACTCACACACACACACGCACGCACGCAAACACATACACACACACACACACACACACACACACACACACACACACACACACACACACACACACACACACACACACACACACGCACGCACGCACGCACGCACGCACGCAAACACACACACACACACACACACACACACACACACACACACACACAGCTGTGTTTATGGGATTCCCTAAAGGTTTATAACTTAAGAGAAGGATGGGAACACCAAAATAATCTGAAAGGAAAATATTTTAATCCCACAAAGAGAAGCAGGTTTTCTTGCATTCTGGGTGTTTTTATCGACTGCTTTTCCCGCCGCTCAAGTGACGATGTAAAGACGACTGTAGGTTTTTAGATAATGGCTGCTTTTGTCAGTAACGGCGCTTTAAACACTCAGCACGTCCGTTTGTGTCGAATCAAGCCGGCTGTCATCTCAGCAGGTGGGTTCCTGGCTCTTGTTTCAGCGGATGATGAAAGCGGCGTGTGCTCTCGTTCTACAGCAACGGGGTGAACGTCGAGGGGGCCACGCACAAGCAGGTGGTGGATCTGATCCGGGCGGGTGAGAAGGAGCTGGTTCTGGCCGTGCTGTCCGTCCCGCCGCAGGAGGCCGACTGCCTGGATCCCGGTGACGACGGGTCGGCCCTGTCCTGCTACGACTACTCCGACAAGCAGGCCGTCCCCATCTCCATCCCCAGCTACAAACACACCGAGCTCGGCAGTGAGAAGTTCGTGGTGGGTGCAGCCGTCCTCTGGAAGCTGAGACTCGAGCTTCATTTCTTCTCCTGTTAAGCTTTCTGCTACTTTTCTCCCAGGTTTACAACGTGTACATGGCAGGCAGGCAGCTGTGCTCCAAGCGTTACAGAGAGTTTGTCGTCCTGCACCAGAACCTGAAGAGAGAGTTTTCCAATTTTACCTTCCCCAAGCTGCCCGGAAAGTGGCCGTTTTCACTGTCGGAGCAGCAGCTGGACGCCCGGCGCCGAGGCCTGGAGGAATACCTGGAGAAAGGTGAAGGGAGGAGAGACGTTGCACACTCGCTGATCCGAGGAGGGATTTGGTGCAAATACAGTGTGTGGTCTAATGAGCTTTGAAAGAAAAGCGTCTGGACAACGATCTAAGTGTGAGGCATCATCGTTTAAATCTGCTCCAGCAGCTAAATAAACTGTTAAGATTGAATTGAATTGAATTGGACTTATTTGAGTTGCTTGAAGACGTTTCACCTCTCATCCGAGAGGCTTCTTCAGTTCTAAGGTCAAATGGTGGAGAGTCCCAGATTTAAACCCCAGTGGGAGTTTCCCCCCGAAGAGGGAACAAAAGACCCCCTGATGATCTTCTACGTAAACACATGAGTCAAGGTGTGAGGGTGGGTGTGGGTCCTATTCAGCCAGAGTTTCGGGTGAGCTCATTGTGAAGCCCACCCTATCATGTGAATTCCTGAGGTCAGATGGCCCATGGACCTTAGAACTGAAGAAGCCTCTCGGATGAGAGGTGAAACGTCTTCAAGCAACTCAAAGAAGTCCAGACACTTTTCTTTCAAAGCTCCTTAGACTACAATGACCTGGATGACTGAGAACCTTCACAGACAATACAGTGTGTGTTTTTTCTGCAGTGTGCTCGGTGCGGATAGTTGGAGAAAGTGACATCATGCAGGAGTTCTTATCTGATTCGGACGAGGTAAGATAAGAAATAAAAATAATTATATTGTTCGTTCTGCTCCTGCCTCACCACGAAGCCTTATTGTCCTTTTCTCCTGACCAAGAACTATAACGGCGTGTCAGACGTGGAGTTGAGAATAGCCATGCCCGATAAAACCACGCTCACTGTCAGAGTCTGCAAAAACTCCACCACGGACCAGGTTTACCAGGTGAGGCTGGGTTAGAAAATGTTCATTCCGCCTGTTTTCCCTCTCCTTTAACGCGCCCGTTGCTCCTCCTTCAGGCGGTGGTCATGAAACTAGGAACAGACGGTGTAACGGCCAGCTGCTTCGCTCTGTTTGAGGTCATCAACCACACATTTGGTGAGTCAGGTCGTGTGACTGAACCAAACTGTAGGTTTGTTTGTCAGAAAATGCTCATCTTTCGTAGCGATGGGTATCGAATTCGGTACTTTTTAAGGTACCGACCGAATTCCGTAGTACCGACAGAGCACCGATTCACGTCATTTGGAACGGTGCCTCGTTTCGGTACCCGTCCTTCATAACGAGAACTTGCCTAGACAGCTGCGCATGCGCAAGAGCGTTATGTCGTTGGTCGCTGCGAGCGAGTTGTAAACAGAGCAGCATGGTAGAAAGAACGCAGCTAAAGCTTGGGTCCACTTCACTAAATGTGATGGGTAACTGGGTGATGATGAAACCAGCGACAACGATCTAAGTGTGACATCCTCATCTTAATCTGCTCCGGTAGGTAAATATAATGTTTTAGATAACGTTAGCTTGATATGTTAGCTTCCGTTCCGCTAACGGTGTGTTCGCTTTCTCCTCGGAACTCTGAATCCCGACTAGAAGAACATGAACGCACTCTAAAGTTTGGCTTCACTTTACTAAATGCGACGGGTGATTGGGTGAAGATGAAACCAGCGACAACAATCTAAGTGTGAGGCATCATCGTTTTAATCTGCTCCAGCAGCTAAATAAACTGTTTGAGATAACGTTAGCTTGATATGTTAGCTTCCATTGCCACCGTTGTTATCAGCTAATGGTGCGTTCGCTTTCTCCTCGGAAAATTCTAACTTCCCAGTTGGAAAAATCTAATGAAAAAGGACGGTAAAAGGAATGAAGATGCACAGTAAATTTAGTTCACAGTAAAGATGTTTGCTTCAGTTTAATTATCAGCTTATAAAACTACAAGGACCATGTTAAAATACAAACAGTTGTATGTTATTTATCGTGATATTTATCAAATATGGTTATATATTGAGAAAAATATATATTAAATTATAAAAGAGAATTAAAATATTAAACACTCAAAAGTATCTAAAATTGGTACCGTTAAGTACCGGCATCGATTCCTAGGTACCGGGAATTAGTACCGAATCGATTCAAATGTCAAAGGTACCCATCCCTTCCTCCTACTGGTTAAAAGTGGAATTACAATCATCGTAAACAACCCTGCTGCAGCCCGCTGTAGCTAACGCTAACAACGAGGTAACACTAACATGAGCCAACTAATACTAAAATAAACCAAAAAGTAAAAAGATCCACAGTGTTGGACAAAATTATTATTACTTACAAGTCCAGTAGCAACAAAGCCAGGTCACCATCAGTCTGTGATTTTGTAGCCTCCATTAGCGCCCTCAAACTGGCGTAAGCTGATGTTTGCTCTGGTTTTAGCTCTTTGCTTCACCTCCAAAGACATTACTCTCTTACTTTTACTTCCAGGCGTCGCCATGATCCCAACAGAAAAAAGCAAACTTCTTCTTTTCGTTCTTCTTGTGCTTTTTATTGACGATTGGCAAACTGAAAATGCTACTTGCTAGCATTACAGCTAACAGCTGTAGCGCAGGTAAAGCGTTCCCCGTGTGGGACATCTACACAGGGCTGCAGTGTGGCGTCAAATATGAAACGGGTCGATTCTAATCAACAATCCCAGAGTTAAAGCTCTAGCTTAAAGTTTAAATAACAATTTAGTGTTGCCTTCAAATATGGCTGACATCAGCTGATGTGGATGCTGATCCCTATACATCATGAACGTCTGCCTCGACTGCTTCCTCTATCCCGAATCTCTCCCGCCAGCATTAAAGCCTGATCCTAACTCACCACGACTCCCAAAAGGCGGTTGATGAAAGACCCGATGATGCAACAAGGCGGTAAACGTGGAGTTCTGGCAGGGTCCACAGCTGAAGTTCTGCTTGTGCCTTTTCAAACAACCACAGGATTCAGATAATCAAGTATGAATGACATTTTTTCCTCTCTTTGCTTTGTCCCCGTGCTCTTTAGTTCGTAAACTCGCCCCCAACGAGTTCCCCCACAAACTGTACATCCAGAACTATACCTCAGCCATCCCGGGAACCTGCCTTACTCTGCGCAAGTGGCTCTTTACCACAGAAGAAGAGATTCTGCTCAACGACAACCAGCTCGCCGTCAGCTTCTTCTTTCACCAGGTGTGTGCGTACGTTTTATTTATGGGACTTCCGGTTGTGTTTTCTTTCATTTTTCCCTGTTTTTGCAGGCGGTTGATGATGCGAAGAAGAACTTCATCAAAGTTGAGGAGAAGTCTTATCAGCTACAGAAGCTGGCAGAGCAGAAGAAGATGTCTTTGGTTAGTCCTTTCATCGCTTAGTGTCTCCTCCTTCAATTCAATTCAATTCAATTCAATTCAAGTTTATTTGTAAAGCGCCAAATCACGACAAGAGTCGTCTCAAGGCGCTTCACATAATAAACATTCCAATTCACAGTTCATTAAGCCAATCAGAAATAAAGTTTCCTATATAAGGAACCCAGCAAATTGCATCAAGTCACTGACTAGTGTCAGTGACTATACAGCAATCCTCATACTAAGCAAGCATGCAGCGACAGTGGAGAGGAAAACTCCCTTTTAACAGGAAGAATCCTCCAGAGAATCCTGGCTCAGTATAAGCAGCCATCCTCCACGACTCACTCACACACACACACACACACACACACACACACACACACACACACACACACACACACACACACACACACACACACACAGAGACACATGCACGGAGACACGCACGCACACACACACAGAGACACATGCACGGAGACACGCACGCACACGGAGACACGCACACACACACACACACACACACACACACAGACACACACACACATAGAGACACACACACACACAGACACACACACACATAGAGACACACGCACGCAAACACACTCACAGAGATGCGCGCGCACACACACACACACACACACGGAGACACGCACGCACACGGAGACACGCACACACACACACACACACACACACACACACACACACACACACACACACACACACACACACACACACACACACACACACACACACACACACACGTAATGTGTCTATAGTTATATTGTGATGTCTTAGTAAATATTGTATTTGGTGAAAGATAAACTTTATTGTATTTATCCTAGTGACCCCAGTTCAGCCCTCTACAATGTTTATATCCTGCCACACTGTTAGCTGTGATGACATCAGCTGCTGTGATTTGATTTCAGCGGTCGGCTCTGAAACTTTCAGATGTTTTAGGCTACGTTTTAAACGTGCACTCGTATTTTTGGCGCTTCCAACTTATAACGGTCACACGATGCCATAGCAGCACGTCTTCTGGTGGAATAAAAGCGGTGTGCAGAATCTGCCAAAATAGACCAGAAAGCATGCTAATGCTAATGCTAATGCTAACTTCCACAGCTCATTAATGATGTTTCAAATATGACGTTGACTTAAAAAGTGCCGGAAAGAAATCCAAGCTTTTGCTGAATTTTGCTAAAGTTAAAGGAAACGGAGCTAAATTATGTCTCCAAGTATGGAAACATCAGCAATTTAATTAGGGATGCACCGATGGATCGGCATTTGATCCCAATCGGCCGATAGCGCCCCTATCGGTTTTGATCGGAGTTTTCAAAATAGATCAAAGCAGACCGATCAGGTAGGGTTGTCACGGTAACCGGTGTAGCGTAAACCCCGGTAAAAAAAGTTGACATTAATAATAATAACTGTCTTGTTTTAAAAAAACTATATTATCTCGGTGGATTAGCGTGGCTGCGGTGTAGGCGCGGTGACCCTTACCAGCCACCGTATCATCTGCTGAAGTTGCCGGCGGCGCATGCGCACTTTGTTGTTTACAACCAAAACTTTCTTGAAGCTAAAGCTGAAATAATGGCCAAAGGAGGAGACGGCAGCGCTCAGGACATTTATTATCCCTCAAAGAAGACAAAGTGGGAAGTATGGGCATGTTTTGGATATTTGAAGAATGCCGAGGGACAGCTGATAGAAGACGGCTATCCTGTTTGCAGCACGTGCAGAAAAAGTGTCTGTGAAAGGCATCAACGCTTCAAATCTCATGACACATCTGCGTGACCATCACCCACAACTCTACAGTCAACGCAAGGCAAGCTAACGTTAGCGTTTTAGCTAAAATGCGTGATCCGAGGATTTGGGTTGAGGGAGAACGCAACGAGTCGCTATATAAAGCAGCCGCAGCGCCGCTACCTGCATATAAACCGTGTCGCGGACACCGCCATGTTGAAATGACGCTATGCATTACGGGGCTCCCAGGGGCAGATAAGAGTTGGTCTCTCTCCGAGAATAATTATGAATTTAACAACGATTACTGCCTGATGACATTTTCCCACATCTGCAAAGCTCACTGGAAGGACACAAACCGAGGACAATATTTTCCTGATATAGGGTTTATTACTCAAGTAAGGGTAAAAAAGTATCTGATTAGAAGGCTACTCGAGTACTGAGTATCATCTGATCTAATATTTTTAAATGATGACATCAGACATAAAATAAGAAGTTATGGGCAAATATTGGTATTTTAAAGACTAAAGGGGAAAAATGTAAACAAATAAACAACATAATTACAAAATAACACATTTTAGGCAAAATTTAGACACAAACTGAGGTCAACATTTCCTGACATACAGGGTTTATTTAATTGTGTGAAAATGTAACACGTTTTAAAAAATACCGCGATAATACCGAAAACCGTGATAATTTTGGTCACAATAACCGTGAGGTTAAATTTTCACACCGTGACGACCCTAATACAGACCATTTTAGATTAGGTTACATTTCCTTTATTCCCAGATTATGTAGTTTGTAGCACTCATTTTAATGTTGTTGAAAATTTCTGGACAATCCACGTGATCGGTATCGGTGATCGGCAGCAAAAAACCTGATCGGTGCATCCCTAAATTTAATAACGCACCCCATTATTCATGGCATCAGTCTGCGCGCAGAAGCATGACCCCTCTGTGTGGTGGCTCATGTTAGCATTTAATCAGCAAGCTTACCTCTTTGTAGCCTAATTCCCATTTTAGATGGCAACAATATTATTGATCCTAGTCTCAAAATTATTATTAGTAGTCATCATTTAAATTAAAGGTGGCAACAGCTGTTTTGTTACTAATATAAATGTTTTAATATTTATGAACAACTGCAGAAGAAAGAATTAAGTTTTAGAAATCTCAAATCCTTAAAAACCTAATAGGTGGTAGTTTTCTGACCAAGACCTCCAAACACACCCACATCACCCCGCTTCTCCTCCAGCTTCACTGGCTGCCCGTCAACTTAAGGGTTCATCTCTAGATCCTGGTTCTGGTCTATAGGGCCTTACATGGACAAGCACCATCTTACATTGGTGATCTTCTTAGTCCCTACACCTCCAGCAGGTCCCTGAGGTCCAGTGATCAAAGCCCACTGGTTGTGCAGCACCAGGCTAAAGGTCAAAGGTGACAGATCATCTGCTCCTGTGGTCCCCAGACTCTGGACCTCTCTCCCCCTGAGCCTGAGATCAGTGGACTCAGTGGTCTCCTTTAAACTCACCTGTTCAGGTTTTGGTGTGACCTTCATCACCCTCTCCTGGTTCTGCTCTCCCCACCTCCGAGCTTTAACGTTTCACCAGGTCTGATCATCTGTGGCTGTTGCTGCTGATCACAGCTGCTCACTAAGTGACAGAATAAAGAAAATAAATCAACAGCTTTCAATTACTTTAACTTGGTCACTCCAGGATTATTCTCTTACAATACACACATACTTTCCATATTTAATCATTTGTTTGTTTTTAAGGAAATTTTGTGGATTTTTAAAATTAACTCATGAATATTTTTTTATTAATTATATTTTTGGGTGTTTTAGTTTTTAATGGTGCTCTCTCTCTCTCTCTCTTTATTGTGAAAAGGCTACTGAGGTCTTTAGGCGTCGCATTCCAACGTTATTTATTGAAGGACCAAGTTCACTTGCTTTTTTAACGTCTGCAGGGATTTCTGTCGTGCCGTACCTAGAAGGTCTTGTGAGTCGACCTCGGTGGGGAAAAAGCTCTGGCACTCCTGTTTCAGGAACCAGAAGCAGTTATAGGAGAGGGGAACAGAATCAGCAGGATTTGGAGTCTAACTCTGGGTCGTTTCCTGATATCCGGATATCCCTCCTCGGATCAGCTGGTTTATGTTTATTTATTTGGCAGACGCTTTTATCCAAAGCGACGTACAGTTTATAACCTATAGGGCGTGTTGTGATCAGTGGGGGAAACCGGAGTACCCGGAGGAAACCCACGCATGCACGGGGAGAACACGCAACTCCACGCAGAAAGGCCGCAGCAGAGTTTCGAACCTGCAACCTTCTTGCTGCGGGGCAACAGTGCTAACCACTGCGCCACCATGCAGCCCTCACAGTGAACATGCTCATGCTGGAGGCCCACCCCGCTCGCTGCAAAACAGCAGGAGACAGCCATTTTTTACCAAAAAAATAAAATAAAATCACTGAAATTTTACTCTCTAATAAAAAATTATGGACTGGGACTTCCACCCCTGCAGAAAACGGTTTCTTCCTCACACCGGAGCTTTTCCCACTGAGCGACCGGGTTCCCAGCTCTGAGGCGTGGGTCTGATCCGTCAGCGAAGCCGAAGGAAAACCGAGGAAATGAGCTTTAGCTGCTTTCACACTGAATCTGGCTCCTTCCCCACAGAGCTGTGCCGAGTGGTCGACTCGAACGTTTGAAAAGAAACCGTTCAGGAATCAGGAATGTTTTGTTTGCTGCCATCTTTTGTTTTCTGGCTTCTGTGGCTAAAAGCAGAAAGTAGCGCTTTAGGATGACGTCCAGCCTCAGAGCCAGGGTCAAAGCACCGGCACATCCTGGTACTTTGTTGTGTTCCTGAGAGGAACCCGAGCCCCCCTCAGTTAAAATTAGGGACGTAAGAAAATATCGATATGGCAATATATCGTGATATTTTTTCCAGCAATATTATATCGATATTCAAAAGCCGTGTATCTAATTCTTGAAAGAATTTACATGCAAACTTTTGTGTATTTTCTTTTGTTTTGTGCAATTCAAAAGTGTGCAACGGGTTTTGTTTCCACCACTGAAATGTAAATCCCTCCATCGTGGTTCAGATACCTCACGTTAAACATGTTACGCATCAGTTTGGACTGTTTATTGAACATTCTTACAACAAATTCAGTAAAAACAATTGCTTGTGACGTCTGACTGAATGTATCACAATATATCGTGATACATCGTATCGTCTCCCCGTATCGTGATACGTATCGTATTGCCAGAATTTCAAAAATACACATCCCTGGTTAAAATGCTGATTTCCACACAGCTCAGATAATAAAATCCCTCCCGTCTTCCCCTCAGTACCTGAGCTTGTTGAGAAGTTGCGAGGGCTACAACGAGATCCTCTTCCCTCACTGCTCCTGCGACTCCAGGCGTAAAGGTCATGTGATCACAGCCATCAGCATCCACAACTTCAAGCTGCACGCCTGCACAGAGGAAGGCACACTTGAGGTGAGTCCTCTGACTTGTTCCCATCTTTTATCTCTAAGGGGGGAACTAAAGAGCGCGTGCTGCTCCAGAACCAGGTGATCGCATTCGACTGGGGGGAGATGCAGCGGTGGGACTCGGACAAGGAGGGCGGGGCTTTCTGCTTCGAATACGCACGAGGAGAGAAAAAGCCACGCTGGGTGAAGATTTTCACACCTTACGTGAGTCGTGTTAGAAGTCTGTGTGTTGTTGGTGTTGCTGCTTTAATAACGAGCCGCCTGTTCCTCTGTGCTTGCTTTTGCACGTGTAGTTTAACTACATGCACGAGTGCTTTGAGAGAGTCTTCTGTGAGCTGAGGTGGAGGAAGGAGGTAAGAGGGGTCCGCCGTCAGAAGCCTTGTCCTCGTCTTCCGCGTTTGAAGTGTCCGTTTGCGTTTGCAGGTGGAAGAAGAGGCGACAGACGAGGACAACAGGAACGGCAGTAAAGACGGTGTGTGTGGAAAGGTGAGCCGTTTCCTTCCTCCCTCCAGGTGAGTCCTTCCTCCTGCTTCTCGCGTTGACGTCTCCGTCCTGATTTCCGTTTCTGCTGCAGAATATTTTCCAGCTGCTGAGGAACAGAAGAGATGACGGGACATAGGAAGGGAGGTCACCTGACCTGACTCGTGGCTCGGCGGCGCTTAACGTACGCGGACATCTTTACACTCCATTAACGACAACACCGAAGCCTCTCCCTGCAGACGGACCCGAACTCCTGAATCCGGCACGTCGTCACCGCATCAGTCCGAGAATTTAGACTCGGGACTGATTCATGCTAGCTTTCCCCGCCTGACGGGGACTCAAAGGGGCGTTTGGTGTGCCACCGAGGAGCATTTAAGCGTCACGGAGGAAACGACGAACTGAGTTATTGGTGCACTAGAGAGAGGCCGCTGCCTAGCAGGAGGAGCTGTTTGTGTCCAGCTGACAAAGCAGAGCGACACCCCGATCAGGAAGCCACAGCCAAATCAGGTCACGCGTTTAGTTTTCCATCTATCCGGCAGAAAACGTTGAGTTTATCTTTGTGATCAGGAACAGATTTACACTAAAGTTGCACTTTATCCAACATCATAAAGCATCCCAGCAGACTGTAAGAAGGCGCAGAACTGGAAGATATTTTTCACCCACTGAAGTGTGATTCTTAAACTGCAGCGGTGTTCAGAGCCATAGTTAAACATGTATGAACCTGTAGTGTTGTGTGAACCGCCCATGCAGTGGGTAAGGGGGTGATGTACCCAAAATAAGCAGCAGGGGGCGCCCTCACTCTGCTGCTCCCTGCTGCACACTGATTACTTTGTCTCTGGAAGCTCCCACAGGATTTATATTAGGCCTGTAATTCAAGTGGCTTCTTCACGCTGCAGCATAGCTGCTGCTTCTCCACCGGCCCGCTGCTCGCTGCAGATTCAGCCTAAAGAAGGACAACATCTCTGCAGGAGGGAACATTTCGTCTTCGTACGGGAAAACGCACTAAACACCTCTCGGATCCCACAGCCGTAGCGCAAAAGCAGAAGTGTGTTTGTTTTCATGTGAAGGTAAATCATTTCCAGGCAACTCCGGTGGAAATGTTTCCGCCAACGACGACGTTCTGGGATAATATTACAGCTGCGTGCTGTAGTCGATGATTACGTGAAGTATTACTCAACGATATTCAGTTGAGATCTTTTCTGACATGAAGATATTAAATATAAAAACTAAGCAAGAGTTTAGTTGTTTGGAAGTGAGGTTGTTTAACCTGTGGTTGATAGCTGGGTGAACAGCCTCCATGTGAAGAAATGGTTCTAATTCTGAACAGATTGACGTGCTAACGGCTAGTTCAAGAGCAAGGTCACTTCCTGCAGCGTTAAAGCAACTCCAGTCTCAAAGATCTGTAGACTTAACTCTGCCTAAACAGCCCCAGGTTCCTACAGGTGCTTGAAGTCCTTGAAAATGCTTGAATTTAATGTGGTATATTTCAGAGTTTACATTTTTTTTAATAAAGTGCTTGAAACTGGTCCTGGTTTGTGGGTAAGGAGGTGAAATAGTTTTGGATTATTTATACGGTTCACCTGTTTTTAAATCCTCACCGCTGTGAGGTGCTGGAAAAGCTTGAAAGTGCTTGACTTTGATTTTAGTGGTGTAGGTGGAAGAACACTAGCAGATATTTACAGAATATTGGGAAGTTTAAGCAGCAGCTAGCTGTAAGACTTCCCGCCGGAGAGCAATGCTGATGAAAGTGTGAAGGAGGGGTTAGTCGACAGGCGGCCCACGAGTCAGATCTGGTCAAGACCCACACGTTATGACCCTCGAGACGAGATTATTTCACAAACTCCTCGTGGACGTCCCAAGGAGGTGCAGCGTTGTGAGCCGCTGCCCTTAAGTTTACGCTCCTTTCTGCTTGCTTGGCAGTAAGAGTTTGTCACGGCGTGTGTTCGCCAGACCCGCGGGTCCCAGACGGTGCCGGTTCTCTCACTGAAGTCCATGTGGCCCTTAGAGTTTGTGGTTGAATGTTTCTGCTTTAAAGGTTTATAACAAGGGTGTTCGATTCCGGGCCTGGAGGGCCGGTATCCACGTTTTAGTTTGAACTGCTTCAACGCACCTGATTTCAGGTGATTAACAGGCTTCTGCAAAGCCTGATGAGCTGCAGGTGATTCAGCCACTGAATCAAGTGTGTTGGAGCAGGGAAACCACTAAAACGTGCTGGACACCGGCCCTCCGGGACCGGAATCGAATACCACTGGTTTATGACGTAATATTTACACGAATCATTTATTTCAGACTGGATATGTTTGATAAACCTGAAATCTGGCCATTGGAGCATCCGTCCGTCTCACCACACTGAGGCTGTTCCAAATTCCCTTCTTTAAGAGGTCCTTCGCTGAAAAAAACATTTTAAATGATTATTTCTAATTATAATGGGAGCGTTTCATGCAGGCTGAACATGAAAATAGTCTCCTACACCTATCTCCTGCATTAGCCGCTGGTAGAAAACAGACGGGGAATCTCTAGGATTAGAAAATCCTGACAGATCTATAGACTCGCCCATCTGGACTCACGACGGGGAAGGCTGTTGTTGGTTTAGCGTCCAGGAAACAGCAGAGAACGTCTCAGCTAGTAGAAGCTAACCGTTTGCATTAGGAACTCCGCCACACAGCAGAACTCCTCCAGGCTTGGGTTGCTTGTGGAGATAAAACGTCAACGTTGCAGAGCAAACAGAGTCCGTGGTAGAGTCGTGTTGCTGTTAGCCAATCAGAGAAGAGATGTCCAAAAAGCAGGAAATAAGACTCCAGATCCTGCCATCTGAAGGTCAGCTGTGATGTGGCTCGCTTCTGCTTCCTGAAACTGGTGCACTGGAGCTTTGTTTCCCCAAAGTACGACTTACAAGGCATTCAGTCCGACCGGAGACGGCTGCAGATGTATTAAAAGCATAAGTAAAGGACCTCTTTAATATCTGAACGGTCCTAACTCCTCTTCAGTGATCGCGCCATGATCATGTTTTATTCTGACGCTCACGCCAGTGATGCTGCCGCTCTCGCGCTGATTTATGAGCTCCGGCAGACCCTTTTAGGATCACGCCGCAGGCCTAATTGAAAGATTGAACGTGCGACCCTGAAGGCCGAATCCGTCCTGTTGGGTTCTTTTCTGTTGACTGAACCAAGTGTAACGCTGTCGATTTTCTGACACCTTGAAGCGTGCGCTCCGTTCAGCTCACCTCCACTAACCTCTCTCGCTCCCTTCTCTTCTTGCTTTGACCACAGACGAGTGTTATTTATTAATTTCTCCTCGACGGTGTTCAGTTCAGCCGAAGGCTGCCGGACACCAGATGGACGGACAACGACGAGCTGCAAAAATCCTCCAACTTGTGGAAATGTAAACCGTAACCAGATGCGTCTCTTGTTGTAAAGACACAAAGAAACGTATTCTTTTAAATAAATGGATTTATCGATGCAGAGCTGATTCTGGGATTTGTGCTGATGTTTGGGAGGGAAGCAAGTCGATGTGACTCTGATTTCCCCGCTCTGCTTTGTGTACCCGCGTCTGTTTTCTGCCTTTCTTTCCTTTCCCCTCATCCCTCCGACTTGTAATGAGATCTGGGACACAATTACCCAACAGGCAGCGAAATGGTCGTCCCACATCGATCTGCATCAAGTGTCTGCAGCTGGTAATTAATAGCTATTGACCGTTGGCGCTGTGGGATATTATCTCAGAACATCTGAATTTTGAGCAGCTAACATGTCTGGAGCCAGGACGTGTCCTGAGGGGCGGTCTGACTTCATTCTGACTCCTTTCTTAATCTCCATTTGTAATATCATGAATAAAATGCAGCTTTTTCCATTAAAGGTTTAACTGGGAAGCATGCTCCCTTTACACTGTGACTGGGAATATTATGGGATTATTAAGGTATTCCAAACTGACAAGAAAGCCATAACCATTGCCATGTTTACTGGTAACATTTTACAATAAGGTTCCCTTTATTAATGTTACTGAGTGGAATATTAGGCGTTAATAAATGTAAAGTGTTAATAACCGCTTAACTAGATTATGCAGTGCATTACTAAGCAGACCCCCCCGGGCTGAGATACGGGGTTAAATTATGACCAATAAGATGTGATGATTCTATATACCGTAAATCCTCTAATACAGGCCCGGGCCTGTATTTGACTCAAGCTCATCAAGCTCCAGGCCTTTATTGGAAGGAGGACCAGAATTAGAGTCAGGCCTCAATTTCTATTTGAGCAAAATGAACTAATGGTTCGCTGGAGTTTCTGACAATTAAAACCGCGTCCACATTTTCAAAGTTAAACACATTTCTTTCAACAACGGTATTTTCTGCTTCAGCCCTCTCCCCCCTCCCCCGGCGCAGCGGCTGCAAACTCACTGATGCGCCTGCAGCCTCTCGGAGTTCCTGCTGCTCTAAACATTAAAATAATTATTTCATTTTCTGTTCCTCACTTCTGATTACCTTCAATGGTGTCTGTTTGTTGCAATCACCAGGTACAAAAACTAACTTGTTTTTATTTGACTATTTTTCTGTCCTGTCTGTTTATTATCTTCCTGCATCTCCTCTCAGTCCTAAAGAGAAACTGCTACCTGGGTTCATATATATTCACCTCATGAGTTACCTTTGAACTGCAGTTCTAAAAGATCTACCGACCGCAAAAACAGCGGAGCCCTCCCTGCTTGGCGGCCGCATCAGTGATTGGTGCGTCGGAGGACAAGGTGATGCGCCCCGCTCCACAGCAGCGAAACGCATCAGGCACAAATAAAAGACAGCAAACATTAAAGGAAATGAGCCGACATGAACGATCGCGTGTCAGTACCGACGCTCTGGCACAGCGCGTTGCCCCCCGAGCGCAGGAGCTTGTCACCTGCTGACAGCAGGCTGCTGTCTTTTCCGTGGACTGCATCTTGCCGGTCATTATCACGTGACAGCGACTAGTCGATGACGGGCATAAAAAGTCACTGTAGTGAAGTCGACTAGTTCATGCAACCCCTATTGCTGCTCCCCAGAGTGTTCTGCAGCGTAATCAGCACGTTCTCTTTGAACTTGATATCAAATTTTTGCCTAATCTTCGTCTCCGCACGGTTACAGTTACCCTCTCGGTCTATCACTGGCAAATCAATAGTGAGACTGATGACACAACCGCCCCCCGTACTTGCTTGTTACCACATTCCACCCGGCCACAATAAAATACCGGCCATTATTCACCTCCGCCGACTCCGACACCGGCCAAAATATGATACCCGGCCGTTAATTGAATACAGGCCTGTATTAGAGGATTTACGGTAAATAAAATATCGACCTGATTGATCTTTGAATGTTTAACCAGAAGAATTTAGGATTCTTTGCTTATTCAGGGACCATAAACACACTTCGTATTAATTCAGACAGAGTCAAGTATGTAATTAAAATAAACATAATTTTCTAGACTAATTATAATACACGACATGTTATGAATAACGATATGTGATTTTTATCAGAACCTTTGTATCTGGAAGAAACTGTGAGTTCTGATTGTAAAAGAATTTGGTCTGCTACAAACTAGAGAGTTGATTTATTAACTCATTCGCTGCCAGCGTTTCTCACCGTTTTTGCTGTTTTTTTAAGAGTCACAGAACGTTGCGCGCTAGCATGATGTCGATGCCAAAACAACCAAAACAAAGAGGAGACTCACCTCTTACATCAGGAAGAGTCCGCGCGTTTCGAGCGTTATCCGTTCTTTCATGATCCGTTGTCGAATTGTGATCGGCAGACGCTTTTCCGGTTCGCGCCTCACTTTTTTTACAGGAACGGCCCAAAACGATCTCCAAACACATGGATGTGTTGCTTCCTGATCATGTGATCTGTGACGTATGCGGATGAAGATCGGCTTCAGGGCTGAGATGTTCTCTCAGCGCGGGGGCTCGTTCCGATGCTCAAACAGTAAAAAAAATGCAAATGACGACTTTAGTCGTCAATGGCAGTGAACGAGTTAATAAAACGGCATCAGACGCAATCTTGTTGTGTCTACGTACCCTGATCGGATACCCCCGTTCAGATCCGGAAAGTCAGGGAGTCTGGTGGACCTCAAGGCACCGAGGTTTGCAGAATAACCGCAGCACGACCATTTCCAGTCTAGAGATGTCTCCAGGTCACAATGAACAGGCGGACTCGTTTTGCGTCTGGACTCTCAAGGAGTCGTAGGCTGTGTCAGCTTTGCAGCGTGCAAAAAGCGTTCAAAGAGTTTTCCTCCGGATTGGCCACTCCAAAGTTCTGCTCAAAAACTGAGTCACTCGGGACGTGACCTGAGTTTTATTAATTCCTACGTTATGATTTTCTGGCAAATCACAACGTGCCATGTTAAGGAGGTTTTACCAAACAAACCTCAGAAACACTCCTTCAGATAAAAGATGCTCTGATTTGTGGATAAGATACTCTGTGTGTGTCATGGAGATATGCATGTGTGTGTGTGTGTGTGTGTGTGAGCTTGTCAAGTAGACTGATTATAAAACAAACATATCAATGCAAGGACGC